TATATTTCGATTGCATATTTCGTACTGTATAATAGCGGTACCATTGAAAAATATACGATAATACGAAGTGATAATTAAATAGTGATAATAAAAGGAATAATGGTAAAAAAGAAAATTATATATATATATTTTTTTTTTCAGACATTATGATTTTAATTTGGATAAAACAATTTATTTATTTACTGCCGGACGGTATGAATTTACAAATAAAGGTGGCGATTTTTTTATTGAAGCATTGGCAAGATTAAATTATCTTCTAAAGGTATGTTAGTAGTATAATATCACATTTAATGATTTATTTTTATATTTTCTGTTCTGTTATAATGCATTCTAATTTTTTGCCTTTTAACATAATTTCAATGACTAAAAAAATGACTATTTTAAGATTTTTATTTTTTAACATCTAATTATAAGCTTTTTGTTCTTTAAAATTTTGCTTTACTGTATTTTTTATGTGCAATAATAAATGAATCATTGGAATAAAATTATTAGAATAGATATTAACATGTCAGCTTAACCAACTCTTTGAAACTGTAGCGGAAAAGATTCATTTATAATTAGCAAGCAGTAACAGATGGTAGCAAGTGGTAACAAATAGTAGCAAATGGTAGCAAACGGTAACAAGCGGTATAAACTGCTATACGTCTTTATATATTTTGTACATCTCCATTTGTGCATAATTAATTAGTAAGTATTAATGAACTTGAGAGTAAAAAATATATTGAAGTAAACAAATTAAAGCTAATGAAATTCTCCTTATTTTTAAAGTCTCTATCACTGTTTGCTTGTTTGTTTGTTTGTTTTACTTCTTTTTAATAATTACTTCTTTTTCAAGTTTTTTTTTTCTTTTATCTACACACTGACATAAGCAATGTTAATTTAGACATCAACTGATGCAAATTGTAAAGATGTCACCGTGGTTGCATTTATTATTTATCCCGCAGCAGCAAATTCATTCAATGTGGAATCATTAAAGGGACAAGCGGTATGCAAGCAATTACATAATACAATATCAAGAATAAAAGAAAACTTAGCATCAAGAATGTTCGAAGCATGCTTGAAGTTTGTTTTAAAGTTTGAGATTTTGTACATTTATAAGGGTAGAATGTGTAATTTTTTTTTTTTAAATCATTATTTGGTATTTAGCTAATTAATAAAGCACATTGATGCAAGCATAATTTTTAATATGAAATGCAGAATTATTTTTCTAATGTAAACATTATATGTAGATTATTAATAAATGGATGGACATTGTATTCTGTTTAATTTTTGTGAAAAGTTAAAAAATTCTATAACATTTCAAAAATTTTATTTTCAGATTTATTTTATAATGTTTACTGATAATTAGAATGATAGAATAATCTAAGGATAATATTAGAATATTAAAATGCTCAAAATGTTTGATTTTTCATTAGTATCAGTTTGCATTTTTCATGATATGACTTATTATTTTCAAGCATTTGTTGTTGAGACCATTTTTTTTTATTAATTAAATTATTGTAGCTGAACAATAAATAATTGCTGTGTTAAACTAAAAGAACAAAAAGAATACTTTTAAGTATTTCTATTCAAATTGGTGATATACGTTTATATACATTGAAAATATTTACAAATTAAAAACAAAAAAAAAAAAAAAAAAAAAGATGAAAATATTTAGAGGTCGTATACCAGATATGGAGGATTTACTACTTCCAGATGAACGTATCCAATTAAAGCGTTGCATACTAAGTGCAAAGGTAAACTTTATTTAATGAATCATAAAATATAAATAATAATGACAATAATAATAATAATGAGCAATATTTTTTAAGAGATTTTTTTTTTAATTCAAACGTTGGTTGCAAATTTTTCTAAATTTTTACATTAAATCTTAATTAATTCATTAATTTCATTAAGCGTGATAATTTGCCTCCAATATGTACGCATAATATGCTTGATGATGCTTGTGATCCCGTATTAAATGCTTTCCGACGTACTCAACTTATAAATCAACCGTTTGATCGCGTTAAAGTATGTTCGGTTACTTTTTTTTTTTTTTTCATTTTTATAATTTTTTGTTTTTTTTAATATTTTTCATTCTCATTTTTATGATAACGAATAATTTTGTTTTTTAACATTTTAATTGCCAATAATTTATCATTGAAGGTAATATTCCATCCGGAATTTCTATCATCTGTTTCACCCTTAATGAATTTGGATTACGAAGATTTTGTTCGCGGTTGTCACATGGGTGTTTTTCCAAGTTACTATGAACCATGGGGTTATACACCAGGTTTAATATTTATTAATTCATTTTATTATCAATCAAAATTTTCTACGTTGTCATTTTCTTTTTTAATTATCAAAAAAAAAAAAAAATGAACTATTTATGGAAGAATTTTTGTATACTAAGTAAATTTTTTTTTTCAGCTGAATGTACGGTAATGGGTGTTCCATCAGTTACAACCAATCTATCCGGATTTGGATGTTTTATTCAGGAGCAAGTGCAGGATCCTCATACATTCGGGATTTTTGTTATTGATCGCCGTTTTAAAGAACCTAATGCATCTATTGACGAACTTGCAAAAACTCTTTATGATTTTACGTTAGTTAAAATTTTACTTTACTTTCATTTTTAACGTTTTAAACGTAAAACAATTATAAAAATCATCTCAATGCTAACTTTTATTCTGTTTTTTTTTTTTTTTAAGATTACTTTCTCGTCGTCAGCGTATTATTATGCGAAATCGAACGGAAAGATTAAGCGAACTTATAGATTGGAAAACTCTTGGAACAGTATGTTTACTTTATCATTTAATATCACTTATGGTCTATATTTTGAGAAGCACAAATCTCAATGAATTTCTATTTTCAATTAAAATATAATACAAAAAAAAAGAAAAAGAATTTATTTTCTCTTTACTATGTGAATAAATTGAAAAATTACAGTTTTATCGTGAAGCACGACGAAAGGCACTGGAAGTTACGCATCCAAATTTCATGCAAGTAATCGAAGAAACTGTTAAAAAAATGTCACGACCAACATCAGCACCATCAACACCGACTACAAGTCGATCGGTGTCACCATACGATAGTGATGAATCAGACACCGCGGAACAAGAAGCATTTGAAGCAAAAGCATGGGCGGAAGCTAATTAGATAAACTTTTATTTCAGAATAATTGATTACATGCTTAATTTATCAAAATATTTATCAGTTATCATTTTTTTTTCTTTTTGCTAACAATTTATATTAATATAACATCTATTTAAATCTAAATCATATTACTTCGCTCAATCATCAAAAAGTAAAAATTCATGAATATAAATTGCTGAATTTTTAATTAATACAGTAAAAGTTACATTTTCATCGTCTTTTTTCTTTATATTTCCTTCCTAAATCTATTATCGGTGTAAAAGAAAAAAAAAAAACTAAACTTTTTAGCAGAAAGTTTTGGATAAGTTATTATTTAAGAAAAAATACGAAGAAAGAAAGGGATAGAATAGGAGTCTTTTGATAATAAAATTGAAATTCTCTGTCTTTAAATATTATAGAAAAAAATTTTTTAGAGTTTACGATTAGCTTTTAGAGTTTACGATTAGCCTTCTTTTTTGTTTTATCAATGTTGTAGTTTATCATCACTATTTTCTAATCATTATAATTAAAATTATAATTACAATCTTCTAACTTTCATTTTCATGCGAGCTTTCTCATTAAATGAATTAGTATAATGATTATTTTATCATATCATATTATGATTTTACTTTTTATTATTGTAACCTGTTGCTTTTATCATGAAATTAATCAAAATATGCGCCTAATCTTTTGTGCTATTATAATCTGCTTTAGCATTTTATACCTGTTTCTTTTCTAATTTTGCAAATATTTTATCATTTTTTCATCAATAAATTTTTTATTAAATAGCTTAATTTTGTTTTAATAGTAAAAATAGCAAAAATTCATAGAAAAGAAATATTTTTAGGCTGTTCATATAATTATACTTATGCTGTTATGTTCAAAGAAAATGAAACATTCCTTATAACATTTAACAATATATTGTATGTATGTATAAATTTTCACTTAGCTCAATAATTATAAAGTTAAAATAAAAAACAAGAAATCATATGATTTATATCAAATTTAAAAATCAACAATCATATCTATGTAGCGAATATATAAGTATTACTATTATCACTTGAGATAAAATTAATTTAGAAGATTGGTATTAATGTTTGGCTTATAATTTCTACTATATGAAGTTTTCGCCACTTTCTTCTTTTCATTGTCGTCCTATCTCTTTCTCTCTCATAAAGTTTTAGAACACAAAAATGAAAAAAACAAAGATATTTATAATATGGCATACATTTTTTAAATAAAAGATGATATGAATTAATTAAACATACAATAATTTTTCTCATTATTTAATCAAATTAAATTTCAATAACTTTTGATGCGAAAAAAAAAAATGGCAATTTAGCGTTAAATATTGCATAACTGTGTTTTCTATGTTATTTTAAGTTAAAATAACTTTAAATTAAATTACAAAAATTAAATGAATTTAAAAAATTCTCAAAGCATCAATTACATCAAGTACAAGTTACTTTTAAAAAATTTTATTTATAGAAAATATAGTTCCTTTGTCAACTTTTTTCTATTCGTAATAAAAGAATAAATAGTGGATTTTTTTTTAGGCAAAAAAAAAAAAACACTACAATTTAAATGATAAAAATGAAAGAAATTAATGTGAAAAAAATAATCATTAGTATTAATTTTAAACTTTCCGGAAGTTTGCATTGATTTTCAAATTATATTCACTGAGCATATTTTTCAAGTATGCAAAAAGGGAAAATCATGAGAAAATCATTGAGAATTTATGATGTGTTATGAAAAGACATGCCATAAGCCTAATAATGCAAATTTTAAGTTTTGATTAAGTGTCTCTCGAATTGTTGCAGATGAAATATGCATATCGATTTATTGGAAGAAATGACTGATTTTAACTTATTGTTCCATTTATTGCTATGTCAGGTGGTTGTTCATCATCGCAGAGCTCCCTTTTCGGTATTTACGAAGAGTCATTATTCCACAGTACACCTTGTAGTACACTCAAATTCGAATCATGCACGGTCGTCAATTTTATCAACAGCGAAATAAATAAACAACAAATGGTTTGCATGGATGAAGCATTTATAATGGATATATCAGCTACAACAAGAAATCGCTACTGGTTACGTGAAAGAAAACAAAATATTTATAAAATTAAAGATGTATATTTTTTTGACTAATTTCTTTCAAATAATATATATAAATGAAATTTTACAGTACTACAATTATACACGTTAATTTTTAATATTCTATAACTTTGGCATTCATGGCTGATGTGGACTTTTGACAATTTACAAATTATAAATTTCAAATGTTTTTCTAGACTGAAAAGAAAGGTACAAGCGGTAATAATAACAAAAAGAGTCAAAAAAAGTAAACAAAAAAGGGAAAAAAAGTGGAGGAAAGAATGTAAAAGGTAACGACAAGGTTAAAAGTGATACGGGGACGCGTATTACTCGTTCGCGAACAAAGCAAAAGAATGGTAATTAAATTTCAAGTGATAGTGCTAAGCATCGACGTGTTAGCACTTATAACAGTAATTGGAGTAAATTATTTAAAAATATGATGTAATAATCCATTTTTTATCCATTATTTCATTGATAATTTCTTCAAAAAAAAAAAACTTTTTTTCAAGTATTTCTACTAAAATGATCTTAAAATAATATAATTTATCAATCTAAAATGATATGAATTATCAGTCAATTGATCTATTTATCTATTTCAATATCCAAAACAGTATGCTCCGAAATCACTTATCTTTTTCAATGTTTCAAGCAATACAAAAATATACAGCTCAATTTTATTATCACTTACGTGTTTTTTAAAAACGGCAAAAAAGAAGCAAAAGTGATTTTCATTAAAAATGTCCAGCTGATGAATTTTTCACTGCTCATATTATGTTTAATTTAATTAAAGTGCTAAATTTACTTAATTGGAATTAAAGTTTAATTTTTAATTGAAGTGATATCACTGCATTGTCACTAATGAGCGTCAAATTGTGTATAAACAATTTTTTTTAGTATAAAATATCATTTTTTTTTCTTTTTTTGTTCTCTTCTTATACACATTCCGAAATTTGCCAATTCTGAGACTTATTTATAAGAAACATACGAGAAATGCTGCGAATACTTTCACTTTGTTTTGTGCATTGCTAAATTCAAAGAATATTGATCTCATTGACATTTTAGTAACGCATTGTTTTGATTATCAATAATTCATAACAGATGATTGCGATATATTTAAATCAAATTTTGATATATTACTGGTTTCAAAAATAATTTTAAGTTACCATATATTATTATATGAGCAAAATCTTAGCCTAAATATCTGTCATGATAAGAAAATTCCAATAACTAAATTAACTTAAGATAAGATAAGTAGAGCAAGTGCAACAACATTTCGCAAGAAAAATTATTTCAAAAACATAAAACAACTCAAAGGGTATTACAACTAGTAAATTGATTAACACATTTTTATCAGGTTAAATTATAATATATATATAATTTGCTCACATCATAATAACTTACATTAATTATTATGTTTATTACACTATATTATATTATATCATGTTATAATATTAATAATATAATATTTTTATATTATATTATATTAATATTGATATCATACTGTATTATCATATATTTTTGCACTATATTATATATCATATTTTATTATATTATATTCCATTATATACAGTTAATTTCACCTCTATTAATTTCAAATGTTTGCTTATCAGAAAAGAAAGAATTGAGAAAATATTAATAATAAATTATTAGCTAATTGAAAAATGAAATGAATAACAATAATAATAATATTCGAATGAAAAAGTATTCGATAATATTAACTTAAGCTTTTAAGCTAATATCCATAGTGATTAGAAAATTATTTCATTGTTGGTTTTGTCGAATTGAAACACCAGAATTTGTTCACACCATAATAATTGACATCGCTTTTGAATTTTTATTTTTCATTTTTTCTAATTTTTTTTTTAGTTTTTGGTTTTTATAAGCAAGTTATATTTAATTGATATTTGAAAATTAATGGCATATTATATTATTTCTAACTTTTTTTCCTTTCATTTTTTCTTTCTGCAATTTTTTTTACCTATTTTTTTCACTTTCTTTTGTTTAAAATTTCAAGTTAAAAAATTTTCTAAAATTATTAAGTGGACAAATTTAGAAACTTGATAAAATAAGTTCTGTTATGCTTTTATCGTAATTAATTTCACTTTCAAAATATATTAAGCATGTGAAAATTTCTTATTTGCAAGATTAGCAACAACAACAAACTATGTCAAGTTTCTCTATCAAATCGGCTTATTTAAACTAAGATGAAAAATTTTTCAAGTAGTGGCAGAGCTTGTTTAACTTTCAATAATCTTAACTTTCCTTCTTTCAATATTTTCAGTAATATTCGACAATAAGAAGGTGTGATAATAGATGAGCTGAAAAGTAAATCAGAAAAATGAAGTTTCATGGATTAGAATTGAAATTCATTTGTAGAATTATATCTTATAGTTCATAATAAAAAATTCGAACGAACTATGATTTATTTTTAAATAAAATATTTATTGATTGCAAGTTAAATTAAAATAAAATTATTTCTATTTCAATTTAACTTGCTATATTTGATCGGTTGATTTTTCACTTCCTTTTTCTGATTATCTCTATTTCTTTTTTATTATATTACAGATTTTTAACCTTTTCTGCTAATTTACGAAAAAAAAAATTCATTTTTTTTTTCAAATATTAAAAAAGAACGATAAGAACATGCCATACACATTTTTTTTTTGTCACATAGCTTTAACATTTTTATCATTAACAAATACTTTAGAATTGACTGATTATTATAACTGTTTGATTCGCGTGATTAAGAAAAAATTTTTTAACAATGAAATAATGATATGAATTAAGCCTAAGTTAAGCTTAGATTAATATTATTTACAAATTAATTGAAAAATTTTTCAAAAAAAAAAAAGGTAAAAGGACAAACAAAAAATTCAAAATAAATATTTCATACTTTATATTAAATATGAAACATTTACAAGAATTATTTAACAAAAAAAATTTTCAGATTAGCTAATATAACAATTACTGCACCCATCATTCATTAACATTTCTTTTTACAAAATGAAATTTCTTTTTAGCATAAAATTAAACGGATAATTTAAGATTTTCATTTCTTCTTTTTTTTACAATCAGTAGAAATAAGTTGGATTCAGTGATGCAAAAAAAAAAATTAATCATAAATTTAAAAAGAAAAACGGAAAAATTAATAGCAAAATGTTGCTGATATTTTGCAAATATTTGCCAAATTTTCTTTCTAGCAAAGTAATATCATACAAAATTTTTTAATATTATCAGTACTTTCAATATTTCATTGACTTTTCTGAATTTTTTTTTTATTTTTATTTGATCAATTCCAGCAATATTTCACAAATACTTTCAGGCATTTTTAAATTTTTAAAAAATTTCTATTCCAACTATTTTATCTTTTTTTCCTTTTTTTGCTAGAACATTTGCCTAAAATTTACCTAAAATAATTACAACACAAGAAAAATCTATCAATTATTCCTGTGTTGAATTTTTTTCTTCTTTTACTACCATTATTATTCAATTGGTCGGCAAAGATTTTAAAATTAATTAAATTTAGACGCTAAAATTTACTATACACTTATTTCAATTTTGTGAGGAATTAGCTAAACTTCATGATTTATTACAAATTCATAATTTCTTTTTTTTTTTTTTTCTATTTGTTTATGAAATATTATTGTTAAACCATTCAGTAATTTAGCATGTAATTTTCATTACTATCTATCTTTTTTTGTTTTTGTTTACAATCAAAATTTGTCTGCTTTAATCACTATTTTGTTTCATTCACAGGTTTTTCCTTCAATTTTTTTTTATTTTCTTATTTTCAATTTTAAAGAAATAATTTATATATTTGAATGAATAAAAGAACAAAAAATAAGAAACAATTGATAAATAAAAATAAATACAACTTTTATCACATTAAACTTAAAGAAAAAACAAAGAAATGTTGCCTTGTTTTCGTTTTAAAATTATTTTATAGAAATTACTAAGCCTATGAAGATGTGTAAAAACTAATTTTTTAATCAGTCATAAAAATTAAAAATAAATTATATTTATAAATGCATAACATATTCAAAGAAGATAGAATGTACATTTCAACAAAAAAAAAAAAAAAAAAATGAGGCTTATAGAATTATTTTGACATAGATGAATGATAGATAAATGTCAAATTTGTTCTCTCATATAAGAAATGACAATTTGTCGCATATAGGAAAATGATAAATGAGGTGAAGAAAATGGAAAAAAGAAATTATTTTTTTAGAATTAAGAAAAATTTTTAGTATAATGTTCATGAAATGAAATTTTTTCATCTCTGAGATTTTCATTATTTTTTCGTTGGAAATTCAAAAGCTAAAAGCTTTTAATTTTTGTTTACTTAAAATATAAAAATTCTAGAATAAATTTTAGAAATTGAATATAAGAAGGAAAAAAAAAAAACATATTACGAAGATTATGGCTACTTTTTGGATTTAAACATATTATCATTTTTCTTTTCTCATAATTTTTATTTAGGAAATTAATTAATTTTACATTATTGTTTTTAACAGTTACACATATTAATTTCGCATTATCCATTACCAAAAGATCGTGTTTTTTTTATCATTTCTTCTTATCAATTCAGTTATTATCAGTCACATTCATCAGTTTGATTATTTGTCTAATCTTTTCTGCTTCTTTTGTTTTGTTTGATATATTGAATATATCACATTGTATTAATTACATATTTTGATTAGATAAAAAAAAAAAATCTGCGAATTTCATTCAATTCTTTTTTTTCATCCGAAATTGTAAGGATCAATTATTTCATTACAAATGAATATAAATTTATGACGATTATCATGAAACTTTAGCATTTATTTATTTTTTTTATTACATAAAAGTTTGTATTAAATTTTAACAATAAAAATGCGAAGCGAATATATAGAAAAAAACTATTTGATAGAATAGCATATTGTATTAATTACATTAATTTAAGCAATTGTTTTTTTTTTCTAACTTATTGTTATTAATGTAAAAAATGAAATTATTAACTTTTGCAATTTTAATGTTTGCTAATTTTATTTTTACATTTACTCTTCGTCGCTTTTTCTCTCACTTTCAGTCTCTCCCATTCTTTGTTGCCATTTTTTAGCTAATTTTTCCGTAAAAAATAAATATTATTTTGTAACTTTCAAGCCTGTAAAAAAAGAAAGTGAAATTACATTTAAATTAATGAACTATTACTAGTGATTAGTAACTGTTTGTTGTTTGTTGTTTATTGTTGTTGTTTTAATACTGAACAGAATTATTAGTTTTGTTTACTATTAAAAAAGAAAAAGAAAAGTGAAATTAAAAAAAAAAAAATTCTTCCACATTATTTATTACCATTTCCATAATTAAATCAATTTTGAAATGAATTATTTTTTTCTAATTTTCAGATTGTTTAATACAAAATTGATAAAACTTTAATCAGTATGATAATTACAATGATATTACGCTATTCGATGTTACAAATAATAATTGTAACAAGCATATTAAGCCATCTAACTTATTCCTATGAAATGGATGACATTAATAATAAATGCCTCAGTGAATTTGGCCCTCTTTACTGTAACTTACTAGAGTATGCCAATGAAGTAAGCAAAAAATCATTTTTTTTTTTGTTTTGGAAAAAAAGTAATTAAAATTTAAAGGTTTCATTTTACTTATTAGTTTTTTAATAAAACTTAAATTATTTGGTAATTTTAATTTTTCTCATAATTTTGTATATTAGCGATATTAAAAAAAAAAAAAACATGACTAATAATGTAATAATGTACATTGAATTATATCAAAAGGTTTTTATTTAATTTTTTTTTTTTTTTTGGAAAAAAGGGCTAATTTACTTTTACAATTATTTTCCGTTTATGCAGTCAAAAATAATTTGCATTTCAATATATTATTTAAGATGTACAAAATTGTACTAAAATTTTCATAGCATAAAAAAGTAATTAAAAAAGGTGGAAGGAAATTTTGTAAAGTAAAGAAGAAAACTTTCTTATATTTTCATTTGAGAAAAATTAAGGAATAATGAGTGTTTAATTATTGAAAGCTTTGAATGAGTAATTATTGTAAAAAATTTTTTTTAATTACGAAATTGTTTGAATGATTTGTGAAAACAACATCTCATAAAACAGATTAAATGATATCGATAATATTAGATATGATTAATTTTATATGAAAAATTTAATATTTTATGAAAATATTAAATTAACTATTTAAATAAGCTAAATTCTTCTTTTTTTTTTAAAATTTGAACACAAGTTTCTGTATAACTGTTTTATTCATTTACATCTTTTATTTTTTGAATTACCTCTCATTTGCATTCTCATTAATAAGCACATTAATACAGCATAATAATAAGAAATTATAATATTTTTAATAGTAATTAATTATTTAGTAATATATTTTCTAATAATTCAGCAACCTGTACGTATGCCAACAATGCAACAGCTAAATCAAAAGCGAACACTGAATAAAGCACGGAACAAATTGATTAAATCAAGTCGATTCTGGGGTAAACGAAATGTTGATACGGTATTTTTTATTGATAAATATTATTTCAATGTTAATTTTTTCTAAATTTGTAAAGTTTTTGTTTTTGTTTTTAATGTAGAAAATATTGGAACGAATAATAAAAATATAAGGTGGAAAATTTTTAAATAAATTTTGTAATTTTAAATAAGCTTTAAATTTATGAGAAAAAATTCTGTAGCATGTAAATTATGAAAATAGCTAATGAAAATTATAAATTTTGCAGTGTTTGTTGTATAATTTTTAAATCAAAAATATTTTCGATCATATCGCAAAAGAAATGAGAAAGAAAAGAAAAAGAAAAAATGACAAAACAAAAGCTTAGAGTTAATTGAATTAATATTTTCATATTTTTACAACTGTTAAATCCTTTTTTTACAAAGTTGAATAGTTGTCGTTGAAAAGCGAAATTTCAAGATTTAATTCTGAAATGAAAAAAGCTTTCTTTGGTTTCAGTTTAACGAGAATGAATCAGGTTTAATGCCTGATACCACAAATACTGGTATGTTAATAATTCACTCTTTAAAAAAAAAAGAATTCAAACTTCCTATTTAATATGAATTCTGGTGGTTTTTTCATTAGTGATATAGCTTATATTCAATTGCAAAAGTTAGATTTTAATACTTTGGAAAATGTTTTTTTTTTTTTTATTTCAATCATTTGAGTAGTGAATATTACAGCAGCAAATTTTTCCTAATAAATCAAAGGATTTGTTTTTTGAAAAATCGCCGAATTATTTAAGATAATTTTTTATTTTAGATGGACCATACAGACGATTAGGCCATCAGAAGTTTGGGCTTGCATTATCAAGTCGTTTCTGGGGCTAAACAACAATTACACACTTCTTCGACAAACATTTCATTTATTCATCAATTAATTTACCCGAAATTTTTGATGGAAAAAAAAATAACTTTACAAAAGTTTATATTAAAAGTTATCATCCAAGATTTTTGCAAATTTTGACTTCAAGGCTGTCATTTTTATTGTCATATTCCAATAATTTTTATTTCTTCTTCTTTTTTTTGCTGGTAAATATGATATCATAATTGAATAATTAATTCATATCTGATGATATACAGAAATTTTCATTAATAAAATCTATCATTCATTAATTTCGTTTTTACAAACAACATACATTTACAAAAATTATGCATAAATGAATTATCGGAAATTGAAAATTGAAATTAAATTCAATTTATGTCATGAAATGGTAAAAGGAGATTATTCCAAAGAAGAAATGTGAAATTTTCAAAAGTGTAATGTTGATTTATTATTTAAGCTTATCAATATTGTCAATTAATGATAACAATATTTAAGCCTATTGGTATTATCAATTAGTGATAACAGTACTTGAGCTTACTATGTTATATCAAAACAAATGTTTACTCAAACATTGTTAAATGATACACAGTAAATGATATAAGGTAAACGACTATCAATTCATTTAATAATTGCTTTAACATAATAATTCATATTATCAATCATAGTATCATATAGCAATTCATTGTGTAACAACTAATTTTTCACAACAAAATGTAGCCAAATATTCTTGCGAACATTTCCCGTAATCGCAACAAACTGTCGCAACACCTCGACGATAGCTACGATTTGATTTCCTATCAGCATCTATAAATTTATAATTTTGTACTAAATAAAAACAAAAAGAAAAAAGGGAAAATTTTTTCAAATTCTTAATCACTATCATATTATAAACATTATACTAATAAAATGATATTCTTATCACACTTTTCAATAATTTGTTAATTATCAAATTTGCCAATTTCACAAGTATGTTATTTTTTATCATTTTAATGAAATCCAATAATTTTAATAGTACTCATGAATTTCATTTATTTATAATATTATTCAATTTTGTTGCAAAAAAAAATCATTAAATAATTTTATGAATTAAATAAATGATTATTTTAACGTGTTAATAATTTATGTTAAATCATTGTAATTATAATTACAGTGGAAAAAAATCATTTGATAAGTAGCAGAAGCAAGAATAAAATCAAAGGTCATTGTGATAGTGATAGAAAATGATATGATTAATTTTTTTTTTTACAACTTTACATTTATTTCTTTCAAAATTAATCAAGTAATCTGATTAGAAATTTTAAAAATAAATCAATAGTTTCAGAATGAATTAGTCAATTTTAGATTTACATAAATGATAAATTTGAACAGTGGAATTGTTTGTTGTGATAAATTGGTGATATGGCCATGATTATAGAGATATGATAGAGATCTCAACAATCATGATTAAAATATTTATTAAATTATTATTTATTAGTTACATGATAGAATTGCAATCATCAGTATGTTTTACATTACTAATTGATAAGATAGCGTAAAAAAGTTTGATAACGATTAGATCAATTTAATGTTAATCACAAAAAAAGAGAAATATTTATGATCTGAAAAAGAATTTGCAACGAATATGGAGAAATTATGAAAAACTTTTTTTCGTATGTTGAAAAAAAAAAGTTATTCTAAAGTAATGAATATTCCATCAACGTTTAAGATAAATCAAATGAATGCTAAATCTGTATTTGTTCAGTGAAAAATAAATTAATTAATAGAATTTAAAAAACGCAATTGAAACTATTTCTCGGTAAAAAAAAATTTAAATAACTTAAATAATCTAAATTTTAGATCATTTTTTTAAATGTAGAAAAAACTTAGCATACACTGTTTGTTCTTTCATATTATTCTATATTTTGCTAATTTGATAATTATCAGTTTCTCAGCCAAAGAAATGATTTAGCAATGAAAAAGCAACTAAAAAACATTTTATGTTAACTATTTAAATGACAAAATTTATTGCGATTATCCATTTGATCTTATTCAAGTAAACTTCATATGGAAACAAAACCGAAACGAACTTAGACGAAAATTAAAAAAATAAACAAAATTTGCCACAGGTGAAATGTTATTGAAAATGATATAAATGAAAGTTAGTAAAATAATAAATCAATACTTAAATTGATACTCGAAAACAAAAGTAGGCTAAATTTGTTAATAAAATGAAAATAATTGAAAATTATTTTTTGTTTTCATAAAAGATGAATCACACAAAAAATGATAACATTAGCTTATGAAATGATAAAGATAATAAAACTTAAGCGTAAATCTTAAATATCAATATATTCCAACAAAATGCATTTAATATTAGCCATAACAATAAATATTATGTCAATTTTGAAATGTCATCCAGAATTCAGAAATGAATTCAATGACTGATTTAAAGTTATTTCCATTTACAAAGTATCAGATAAAGTAATCACTTTCTTCTCTTTTCTTTCTTTCATTTTGCATAAGCAAAAATAAAAGAAATAATTTTCAATGATTATTTGAAGAAAGAAATAGAAATAATTATCATTCAGAAAAGAAAAAAAGACAAGAAAGTTGTATGGAAAATTATTAGTTGATCGATAGGAACAATGATAAAATCATTATAGCTTTTTTTTTTCTTACAAAAAATTTTCTATCTGAAAACACTTTTAAATTACTGCAAGATTAAATCTGTCACACAATTAGTTGCTAATTAATTAGTAATTATTGTAACAAATAAAATTCAATTATCCATTTGGATTAATTATTGGTACGTTGCAACCTTTTTTTCTTTTTTGTTTTTCTCTCGCAGAAATTTGTAACAAATACTATCATCAAAGAGAATTTCTAAAGAAGTAACAAGAAATATAAAAAAAAAAAAAGAAAACAAATTTTTCTTCTTAACTGTTTTCCAACATAATGTTAAAATTTCATCAAAATAAAAGAGAAAGAAAGGAAAAAAGCCAAAATTATTGCATATCTTTTTTCATCTTTATAAACAAATCAAAAGTAGATTTTACATTTAATTAATTATCACATTCACTTACATATTGTATTTGTTGAACTTTGAAAGCATGGATAGGTGCTATTTGTCGGAGTACATTTCTGCAATAAATTCAAATTTATCACTTTATAAAATATTTGATCATTTTCAAAAAAAAAAAAAAAAAATTGTTTTAAGCATAAAAATAAATTTCGAAATTTAGAAGTTGAAATATTTTTCTGGTTTTGTGCTTGAAGATTTTTATTAAAAATTTGTGTCACAAATAATTTTGAAATAAAATAGGATTAAATTCTCTTAAATAAAATAAGAACTTTATTTTATTTGAAATTTACGCGAAATGATTAGTTGACTTAGTGACAATTTATAATTCAAAAAAAAAAAACGAGAAATCTTGAGCAACTTTACTGATTTACCTTAATTAATGCATATATTAGCTCTCTACCACAAATTCGAGAATAATTTGCTGATACAGTTTGTTCCATTTTATGATATGTGCTTAGAAATTTGTTAAAAGTATCAAATGTCTAAAAATTCATGAAACAAATCAATGAATAACAGAAATTGGAAATAAAAAGTGATAAAATTGAAATCAGCTTTAAATAAATTATTGTTGAAAAATATTAAATTATTTAATTTTTCAAAAAAATACTAAAAATTTAAGGCATTAAATAATATCATATTTTATTAATGGCTATAATCATTCCAAAATAATAAATTCAAAGTATTTGTATATATTTCAATAAATTATCGATTGATTAGAACAGTTCAATCTTACTTGAATATTAACAGCTACTTCAGTTGTTCCTAAAGTGGAATATTTGATCATAAATGCCATAAAGATATATAAGAAAGTGACATTCCGGAATATCATCCGGAAGCTTGAATAATGCATATTTTCTAGTCTTCAGCTTTAATTTTCCAGTTATTTTTTTTTAAATTTTAATTCTGGAATTATTTCTCATAAAACATTTAATTAAGCCTTTCATTTGAAAATTTACTAATTTTAATTAGATTCCTTAATAATTTAAAATCTTTTCTTCTTTTTCCACCAATATACAGTATCATATATGGTAAACTTATTCTATCCATTCATGATAAGTTTTTTAAACTATTTTTTAAAATTATTACATGATTAAAAATATATAAACCTCAAAATAGCCGTTTCACTGACCAATGAAATTAACTAACAAATGATCATAAATGAAAAAATGCGAAAGAAATATGAAAAAATAGAAAAAAGAACTGATAAAAGTAATACAATCTGATATAAAAGTCAAGCATATGAAAAAAAAAAAAAAAAAGATTATAAAATGTATAAAATTTCCGCGACAATGCAATATTTTATGTGAAGAAAAAAGATACAATCAAGTGATATGATATGTGTAATATATCAACCAAATGTTAATATAATATTCTTTTATCATTTGTTCCACCATCCTTGCTTCATTTCTTTTTTTTCTTTATCAGTATCATATTATTTTAGTTTATATCAAAATTAATTATTAAGATAATTTGAAAAATACGAAGGAAAAAAGAGAAAAAAGTGTGCAAAAAAAAGAAAAACTTAATAATTGACAAAAATTAGCCAAAAAAAAATGACAACTTTTTAATATGATATTTATTACTTTTAATTAATTAACTAGAGATTAATTTAACAAAAGTGATATTCGATTGAAATAGCATAATAATGGAAGGTGTAATTCGTTTTAAAATGCATTATTGGTGAAATGTTCATTTTGTTGTGGTTTTTTCTTTTTTTTTTTTAACCAATATTTTTTTTTTTTTTTTTTGTTCCACTGTTTTATTTTTCATTTTTTATTTTGTTTTGAGAATTAATTGATTTAAGAATTAACTGATTCATATCTTTTTACCTGCTATAACATTTCTCTCTGATACTGTTTTTTCAATCTTTAGAAGAATATGAAAAGTTTGAATTTCAATTTCATCAAATTTTCATTGCTTAGCATTTTTAACACAATAAAATTGCTTTGAAAAAGAAAATGACGGAATCAGAGAGAAAGGGAAATTTTTTTTTTTTTTTTTGAGGATGTAATAAATAGGTTGATTATTATGACAAACCATTAAAATTACAATGCTGATGCATTTAATTACTTTTACTTTTTCGATAAAACATTTTAAGACTTAAATTTGATAAAGACTTTTGATTATAATTTTGAGCCTTTTAACTCTCATACAATTTGAATGGTCGATATCAATTGCATTTTAAAATTTTGCAAATTTTAGACGACCTTCATATTCGTTGCAATCATTACAGAAATATTTTGAACTTAAAAAAATAACTATTTTACTTAATAAATCTTAGTCCTAAATATTATCTATAAATTCTTTGAATTTTATATTTTTCACATTGTAATACATCAGTTTTATTATTATTATTTTTTTTTTTTGCATCGGATGAAAGCTTCGTAATTTAAAATCGTTTTTTTTTTTTTCTCTCTCTTCCACTTTTTTTTCGAAATACTTTCAAGTGATCATATGCATATATTTTCGCCATGTATGCAATTTTTTTTTAGAATCATATAATACGATGATGTCAAATTCAATGAATAAATTATTTTTTCAAAACATTTTTCATTACCTACTGCAATTACACTGTAATTTCAAACTGCAAAAAGAAGTTAAAAGATCGAAATTAATGCTCAAAATATCCAAAGTATATTCAGAGATGTTAAATGCTTTATAATATTAGCATACAAAATAAGCAAATGACAAATTTCGAGCTTAAATAAACATTTAATTTTAAAAAAAAGTTTCAATTTAATACCTTCATTTCATTCAATTATCAATTGAGTTTTATTAAGTGGTATAAATTGAATAAAATCTGAATTGATTAATTACGATTACAATGGATTAAGAAAAAAAAAATGTTAGGTAGTAAACTAAAAAAAGAAAACCAAAAAAAGGTAAAGAAAAAGATGTTTAATAGTATCTCAAACGGTATGCACCGGTTAATAATGATGTACTTTGAATGCACTTTAAACATTCTAAATATATTTGAATTAATGGTACTAATCCATCAAAGAATATTTAAGTACTACAAAAAAAAAAAAAAGAAAAGAAAAGAAAAATTGAATGTTAAACTTTTGTAATACCTAAAAAGATTATTTGCTCATGTGAAAACTACTCAAAGAAATGTTCATCCTTCCAACTATTTCCTTCATCTGTTCATATATACATCATATTTATTCTCTTGTACTCTCTCTCTCTCTCTCTCTCTCTCTCTCCTTATATCCATTTATCGCTTTCCTGATCATTCCAAAATTCACTCATTCCCTTTATCCATTTTCCTGATCATTCTTCTATCCATTATTTTATGTTATCAATTCACACATTCATATGCTTCATCCGTCTACTGATATATTCATTTATCTATATATGCATATTATATATTCGTTTCCGTCATTTCCGTTGAAATTCTTACGTTTGTCCATTCAGTGATGTCAATCAATGTACGTTCATTCTACAATCAATTCACTTTTTTCTTAATTCATTCTAAAATTTCTCCATTATTGATTTTAATACCTGTTTAAGAAAAGTATTTAATTAATTAATTATTTATTTTTTTTTTAGATGATTGCATAACAAGTATCATTGTATACTTTCACACATCATAATTCGTTTGATGAATTACTTATACTTTTATCAAAATTAATACAATATTTGTAATTAATTATAATTCATAACAAATGATATTATTTTATGTTAATTTCGAAAATATTCCGTATTTTATTTTCATTACCTTTCTTTTATTGACCCGATGAAAAAAAAAAAGGAAAAGAAAAAATCGACTGTAACACAGTAATCTATGATTATTTGTTCAACTACAACGATTCATCGATCAGTTCAAATCTTTCTTCTTCTTTTTTTCTTTTTAACTACAGTACTCTCATTTTTCATCTTATCTTCATTCCTAAAACAAAAAGGTAAGAAAAAGAAAAAAAAAAAAAGAGGTAAAGGAAGAGGAAGAAGAAATAGGTACCTTTTAAGGATGTTACAAATTATAAATAAAATATCAATGTGTTATGCAACAAGAATAATCATTTTGTCTAATTTTTTTGCAAATGACTTTCTAAATTATCAATCATTTCAAAAATAAACATCGATCAGGTTTCTTTTTCATTTCTTTTCTGTTCTTTAGTTATTTTTCATTTTGTTCATAAAATTATAGCGTAACATTTGATTTACTTATCATTTCATCATCAAAAAAAAGAAAGAAAGAAACTCAAAAAATGATAAGCATTTTATTTATTCGCATAAAATATACAAAAAAAAAAAAGCAAAGTAAAATCTATTCAAATTTACAATAGCAATATCAGAATATTATATAATTTGTTAAATACTACAATGTATAATCATAATTTTTTCAACTTTTCCCTTCTTTTCTTTCTTAACTTTTTTTATTTAAATTTTTTTTTTTTCAAAATGAGTTTCAAACATTATTAACATTTTCAAAGTGCATGTTTAGTTTAAAAAATGTCCTTTCATTTTCATAAACGAAAAAAAAAAGGGAGAAAAGAATTCGTTCAAGATTTAACAGTTCATACATGACATTATACAAAAGATGAAAATGGATATTATTGTATCAATTAAAGAAATTGATATTATCGTTTCTTAATCTAATCAAATTAAAGATTTGAAATAGTAGGATTTTTTTTTTGTAAACAATACATTTCACTGTAAATTAAATTTTAAAACTTCAATAAGAAAGAATAATTTGATGTGATGGAATAAATTTTGTGACAACAAATTGGTAATTTTGAAAAGTTAACACAATAAAGGTGACAAGAAAATAATCGTTTTTTATGACAGCTTAATTTTTTTTTTCCTTTTGAAGTTCAAGTGAAATAAATTAAATTTTAAAATATTTTGTTGTTTTTTGACTTTTTTTTTCAAAAAATTTTATTTCTTTTCCCTGTTAGAGGTCAAAAAATCCGTTAGAAAATATATAAATTTTGAACAAATATATATAATATACGTTTCATTGCCTTTTGCCTTTGCACTTTAGAACCTAGCACTTTTATATGTATGTTTAGGGACCAATTCTTTTATTTTTTTTTTTTTTTGTTTCTAACAAACGAAAAAGGTGTAGAGAGGGCCTATTTAGTTCAGTGCCCCTGAAAATGTGAAATGCCTAAAACATGCAATCAACGGTAACATTGAAAATGTACTTTAAAAAGAAAAAGATTTTTTTGTTTTTTTTTTTTTCATCGTTTCATTTTCCTCTCTTCTTTCTTTCTCTCTCTCTCTCTCTCTCTCCTTCTCTCTTTTTTTTCTCCCTATTCATTTACTTTCCTCTCTCCTCAGACCAATTGAACTATTATAAATTCCATACTTTCCAACTCTTGAAAACGGCGCTTTTCATTTTGCTTCCACCAACAAATTATCAATTCAGTCCATTTCAATCTTTTACATATTCCTGTAAAATACAATGAAATAAATGTGAATGAATTACAATTATATATATCTTTCATTAAACAATTTCAATTCCCTCTCATTTATAAATTTAAAATGAAAATAACATATCATTTTGCTTTCCTTCCAAACATTATCAGTTGATAATTGAACATATAATTAATAATAATAATAATAATAACGATAATAATGATAATAATAATAATAATAATAATAATAATAATAACGATAATAATGATAATAATAATAATGATGATAATAATGATAATAATGATAATAAAGACAATAGTAATAATAATAATAGTAATATAATAATAATGATAATAATAATAATAATAATAATAATAATAATAATAATAATAATAATAATAATAATAATAATAATAATAATAATAATAATAATAATAATAACAGTAGTAATAATAATAACAATAATGATGATAATAATGATAATAGTAA